CTTTTTATATGAAAATGGTCGTCTATTATGAAGTAAAGACGACCCTTTTTATATGAAAATTGTCGTCTATTATGTAGTAAAGACGACCCTTTTTATATAAAAAGGATCGTCTATTATATGTAAAGACGACTCTTTTTACATGAAAATGGTCGTCTATTATGAAGTAAAGACGACCCTTTTTATATAAAAAGGGTCATCTATTATGAAGTAAAGACGACCCTTTTATATGAAAAGGGTCGTCTATTATATGTTAAGATAACGGTTTTTTTTAAAAGCGTCGTATTTTAAAACACGCTAAAAAATGGCCGCTTAAGTGAATTCGCGCTCGACAAATTTTCAAATTTTCACCCGTCTTTGAAAACCTTATCTCTCATTAACAAGCGTCGTCTTTTAAAACACGCTAAAAAAAGGCTACTTAAGTGAATTCGCGCTCGACAAATTTTCAGATTTTCCCCCGTCTCTGAAAACCTTATCTCTCCCTCCTTGAAACCCTCCTGCACTCTCTAAAACACCCTCATGAAACTCTCTACAAAATCATCAAAAAATCGATATCAATGAAGGAGTTGAGAGATTGAGGTCTTCGCAGATCCATAAGATGTAGAGGGAGGTTCTGTATTTGAGAATCAAAGCTGGTTGAAAGGTTTGATTTGAAAGATCTCGACCTTCACTTTCTTCAAAGAAGATCTCGCTCTCAAGCACTCAACTCGCTCATCAAACTCAGCGACTTGATCTAGAAAGACTTATGGAAATCGGTCTATATATATATATATATGTTTGTTCATGTATTGTGCTAATTTCGTGGGATTTAAGTGAGTTTCTCATTTGGGTTTTTTATAAATATGCACAGCCGTCCCACAAGGCCTTCGTAATCAAGAAGAAGCTGACGAAGAAGATGAGGCAAAACATACCCATCCCTCACTAGATCCGTTTTGTCGTCTTTACATATAATAAACGACGGTTTTTTTTATAAAAAGAGTCGTCTTTACATATAATAGACGATGGTTTTTATATAAAAAGGGTCGTCTTTACTTCATAATAGACGACGGTTTTGAGTAAAAGCGTCGTCTTTAGAAATAATAGACGACGGGGATTTACCGTCGTGGTTTTATGCATCAAAAGATGTTGCTCGATTTCACGACGGTGGAAAAACCGAATACACGACGGTGGATTACCGTCGTCTATTTCGATTTTTGTAGTAGTGGATGTTAAGATATACGCCCGCATTCACAATCTGACAACATTTACAACTTACTAAATATCTAGGAAGAGAAATAATTAAATAAAGAGGCTAATTGAGTTAATTTGGTTAAACAAATATCCAAAGAAGATTCATATTGCAAGGGGATTGGCACATTGTTTTGTCCTAATCCACATCTACAAAGAAGAAAGAATGATTAATATGGTGCGCATAAAAAATGTAGATGATAGTAGATAACAAATGTTCAAGGCAAATTTTTAAGTTTTTTTTTTAATGTGTATTTAAACTCAACACATTACCTGAATTAATAATCCTTCTTCTTCTTTTATGTTTGAGGTTTTTTTACTTATATTCTTGCACAAAAAATAAAAAGCATAAGACTGAATCACCCCTCCTTCTTCCCTTTCCCAGCACACAACTGGTCGAGGTGGTCATTCATACAGAAACAATTAAATAAAGAGACTAATTGAGTAAATTTGGTTAAACAAATATCCAAAGAAGATTCATATTACAATAACATTCTTTTTTAATCAAATATCCAAAGAAGATTTATTCATCTCTTTTAAGATATATGTAACAAAAAATGTACTAAGATATTTTCCCCCTCTTAGATGAAAACACCAAGTACAATTAGCACAAAATCAAAGAGCACACAACCAATGTGTCTCTGAAGAAACATCAGCAGCATGGGCTGTGCTTGTTAGATCAAGCAGCAGCAGCGCCGGTAGCGCAAGCAAGAGGCTGTGGCACGCGATTAATTGTCGGCTTGACATTAGAACACACAGAGGTAATAGGGCCTTTGTTTCCGGTGTACTTGAAATCAATGTCACTCAATTCCACATTCTCACATGGCATGCCTTGGGTGCATACAAGCTTCACAGCAACTGGGTCGGTACATGTGCCCTTGATGTTCTTGAAGCTAACATTGCTGATCTTAACTTTGGAAGGAACCTACACAAAACCATTCATTAATTGATTAATTTAAATCCTTTTAAAGATTCAGTAAATGATGACTTGATTAACAAGGAACATATATATGATGTTAATAAATTGTTATAGATAGATACCCCTTTTTTGCATTCGTTCCATGGGCAGTACTCTTGGTCAATGAGAATAGGGTTACCAACATTAACCATGGTAATATCCTCAAAGTGAATATCTGAGGCAATGCCATCTTTTGGGGAAGCAGGCCATGTTTTGATCCTCACACCATTCGTTGTATCAGTCAAGGTGCAGTTCTTAATGTTGATGCCGGACACGGGTTCTTCCTCTGGGTACCTTCCAAGGCTCCCGATGGCTATGCCGTGGCCTGGCCCACAAGTAACGTTGGTCACAGTGATGTCCTTGTTACCATCACCGATCGAAATACAATCATCCCCAGTTCCGATGGTTGTGTCAGTGATGCTGATCCCAGTTGAACGCCCAATGTGAATTCCATCAGTGTTCATGCTTTCCTTAGGTGCTGAGACGGTAAATCCTTTGATTTCAACCTTCTCGCACTTCAAAAGATTGACGTGGAAATTTTTGCTATCTTTTGAAGTTACGTCCAAAATTTTGGAATTGGTGAGGAAGTGGAACCTCAAATTCTGCATATATTAAGAAAACAAATCAAATACAAATATGTTTATATTGTCAGGCTGTGAATCTGGATCACGTATCATCAAGTCAAAAATTGATCAATGAGCAAGATTCAAAAATGCTCCTGTGTGACACAAGAAGATTTTCAAGTATATA